GAGATAAATTTCACCAGGGTGCATCAAGGAACACATCAAGGAAGTCTTAAGTGGAAACTTAAAGGACAGGTAGGATTTTTAATAGGAGGAAATGATGGTTGAAAAGTAGGAAAGTATTTTAGATGGAACAGGAAACTCAGAGGCATACAGGCAGTCATAACAGACCTAAGAGAATGGTGATTATCTATTTTTCTTTAGGTTAGAAAAAGTATGCCACTATCAGCATCCCAGTATCCCTTGCCCAAAATGCTTGGGAGAAAAATGTTTTGGATTTTGGATTTTTTTTTCAGATTTTGCAATATCTGCAGAATATAAACTGGTTAAGCATCCCTAATCCAAAAATCTGAAGTTCAAAATGCTCCAATGAGCATTGGGGGTGGGGGGCGCGGGGGCATGATGTTAGCACTTAAAATGTTTTGGATTTTGATGTATTTCAGATTTCATATTTTTGGAACTGGGATGCTCCAACTGTATCAGATGTGTCTTTCCTCAACTAGTTGAAATTGCCTAGTGGGTGAGTGTAGAGAAGCAGCATTAAGAAGTTAGGAAGGAGAGAAGCCAATGAAAGAGACAGAGGAGGAAAATGAAAGAAAGGAGAAAAGCTAAGGTCAGCCTACTGATGTGGCCTTGAAGTGTTGGAAACTGTGGGTCCTTGGAAGTAATGGGGCAAAGCTCCCTAACAAGGAGCTACGTGAACGCTAAGTTCAACTTCACTGGAGTCTGTTGAGCGTTAAAGATGAAGTTAGAGAAGAGACTGATGAATGTGGTGATTTGGCAGGAACCATTACAGTGGAGTGGTGGAAATAGAAGTCCTATTGGAAAGGATTAAAGAGACTGCAAGTGCAGGAAATGGAGATGGCATGTGTAAGCAGATTTTTCAAGAAGTTCTGCTGAGAATGAGGAGCTGGGGGGAGATGTGGGATAAAAGGAATTGTTTTTGAGAACTATATTTATATTCAGCTTGAAATGATTCAGTATGGAGGGAAAAATAAACAAAACAAGAAAAAGAGAGAGAGAAAGGGAAATTGCAAAGGCTAACCTGAGAAAAGAGAAGTTGTTCTTTGATAGGAATAAACATCTTAAAATAGCAGAAATGAGGGCAAAGCATAAGAAAGCAGATGCCAGTAGGGTGAGGATTTGGTGGTTAGAGGATAAGGGAGCTCTGCTCTCAGTTCTCTCTCAGTTCTCCACCAAACACAAACCCGTTGCAGCAGAATCTCTCTTCTGAGCTATTGTTTAAGAAAATCCTTTTGAAAGTCTTTCATTTTTCTCATCAAAGAAAAAGCCAGACACTAGTTCAATTGATACAGGCAGATTTTATTTATTTATTTATTTATTATTATTATTGTAGAGACAGAGTCTCACTTTATCGCCCTCAGTAAAGTGCCATGGCGTCACACAGCTCACAGCAACCTCCAACTCCTGGGCTTAGGCAATTCTCTTGCCTCAGCTTCCTGAGTACCTGGGACTACAGGCGCCTGCCACAACACCCGGGTATTTTTTGGCTGCAATTTGGCCTGCTCTGGGTTTGAACTCACCTCCCTTGGTATATGGGGCAGGTGCTCTACCCATTGAGCCACAGGCGCCACCAGATAAGGGCAGAGTTTAATCAGTAATATTTTATTGCAAAAGGGAAGAGGGAGCAGCATGAACTGAACTCGATTTGTGCAACGGGAGACTAGACATTGACAGGAGAATGAGGGACTAGGGAGTGGAGCAATTGGGGGCTCAGTAGAGTTGGGGAAGTGAAAAACTACAAAGGTCTGGTTGGTGCAAATGAGATAATGCAGCTGTGTCTGCTAGCTGGCAATTATGGATGTCAGGATTCTACCTTCCCACAGTCACTGGGAGACAGAGCCCTGTACTTCCCGATGATTACACTGCAAAGCTGTGGGATCCTTGAAAGGGTTGTAGGAGATACACATATACTTTAAAGGGACAGAGGAGTGATTGACAATTTCAAGCCCCTTTTCTTAAATGTTTTAAGAAAGATGCTCAGGGCCGTGTCTGTGTTGGCTGGGATAAACAGGAAACTGTTTTGGCAGCTTTGAGCTTGGAATAAACAGGAAATTGTTTTGGCAGCTTTGAGCTTTCTTAGGGAGGCACTAAAAGGGGTGCTAAGGTCATCCTACAGATGTGGCCTTGAAGTGTTAGAAATTATGTCCGTGTTCAATTCTTTTAATGTGGGGGGTAGCAAGGAGCAGACTAAGTCATTTGTGCTGGATGCCTCTGGTTTTTGTACAGTAAGGCTGAGGGCCTACTTGAGGAGCAGGCTTAGAAGAGCCTTATGAAGAGTTTTGCCAAGGAGAGACTCTTTATCACTCTCCACCTACCAGGATCACATCATATCTTCTCTAATGTTTCACTAAAAGAAGAAAACTCACATTCTGTTTTGGGGGTTTTATCTCTACCTTATTCTTTCCTGAACTAAATTAATTTCTTTCCTGAACTCATAACATCTGTTGCAATACTTCTCACAAAGAAATTTATCCCGTCATACCTCCTGGCAAATTTTATCTTATTTCATCATGTATTTATGTCTTGGCTGCTGGACAAGATCATTATTCCCCCAGGAACCACGCCCCAATGTCTCTGACATCTTTTTACCAGGTGTAAGTTCTGTGTAGCACTTGGACACTCAGAAAGGACTCAATCAAAATCACAAGGTTCCCAAGCAAATTTATTTGTTTCAAAAATTTTTGAGGGGCACTCACTCTATACATGCCATTGTGTCCAATGCTGCTAGGGATCGATTTCAAAAGAGCCAGCCACAGATTTTATTATTGGATCTCCTACTTTCCCCTCAGAGTGCTGCCATTTACTAGAGACAGCTGAGATCCCTGCAGAAGCTAACTTTTAAGATATTATTAAATATATTTCAGGATACATACAATTTAGAGGCATGTTATTTAAGAAGCCCTCAAAGCTTTACACAATTACAGGGTCATTCTTAGCATACATTAAGAAATCAGGCTGGGTGAGGTTGCTCATGCCTGTAATTCTCATACTCTGGGAGGCCAAGGCAGGAGGACTGCTTGAGGTCAGGGTATCAAGACCAGCCTAAGCAACAGCAAAACCTAAAAAAATAGAAAAATTAGTCAGGTGTGGTGGTGCATACCTGTAGTCCCAGCTCCTTGGGAGGCTGAAGTAGGAGGATTGCTTGAGCTCTGGAATTTGAGGGTACACTGAGCTATGATAATGCCACTGCATTCTAGCTCTAGCCCAGGTGACTGAGAGATTCTGTCTCAAAAAAAAAAAAAAAAACAAGAAAAGGGAAGTCATAGTAAGAAGGAGATAACACTCACACCTACTAGGACAGTTCTAAACAAAAAGTCAGATAATAACAAGTATTGGTGAATATATGGAGAAACTGGAATGCTTCTTCACTGCTGGTGGGAGTATTATTAAATGATACAGCCACTTTGTAAATCAGTGGTAGTTACTTAAATGTTTAGACATAGACCAGTAATTCTACTCCTAAATCCTAACTCCATGCAATACAGAAGTGGTCTTCCACACTCCGTACAGAAATGAAAACATCTATACAAAAACTTGTACATGGGTAGCATTATTCATAATAGTTAAAAAGTGGAAATAAGAGAAATGTCCACCAACTGATGAATGGATGAACAAAACGTAGTATATCCATACTGGGATGCACTCAGCAGTAGAAACGAATGTTTTTTTTTTTTTTTGAGACACAGTATGACTCTGAGTTCTAGAGTGCCATGGTGTCATAGATCACAGAAACCTCCAACTCTTAGGCTCCAAGCAATCTTCTTGCCTCAGTCTCCTGAGTAGCTGGGATATCAGGTGCTGGCCACAAGCTTCTTTTAGTTTTTGAATTTTTATTTATTTATTTATTGAGACATAGTCTCACTATGTCACCTTCAGTAGATAGCCGTGACATCACAACTCACAGCAACCTCAAACTTTTGGGCTATTTTTTTGTTGCAGTTGTCATTGTGTTTAGCAGGCCTGGGCCAGGCTGGAACCCATCAGCCTTGGTGTATGTGGCCGGTGCCCTACTCACTGAGCTACAGGTGCCAAGCCAGTTTTTAGTAGAGTGGAGTCTCTCTCTGTCTTCTCAGGCTGGCCTTGAACTCCTGAGCTCAAGCAATCTACCTGCCTGGACCTCCCAGAGTACTAGGATTACAGGTGTGAGCCACTGTGACAGCCTTGAATGAAGTTTTTTTTTTTTGAGATGGAGCCTCAAGCTATCCCCCTGGGTAGAGTGCCATGGCCTCACAGCTCACAGCAACCTCCAACTCCCAGGCTCAAGCGAGTCTCCTGCCTCAGCCTCCCAAGTAGCTGGGACTACAGGCGCCCGCCACAGCGCCGGCCATTTTTTGGTTGCAGCCATCATTGTTGTTTGGCGGGGCCGGGCTGGGGATTCGAACCTGCCACCTTAGGGGGCGCCTTAGCCGATTGAGCCACAGGCGCCGAGCCTTGAATGAAGTTTTGATACATGACACAACATGGATGAACCTTCCTAATGCCACGACCCTTTAATACAATTCCTCATGTTGTGGTGACCCCAACCATAAAATTATTTTCGTTGCTACTTCATAACTGTAATTTTGCTACTGTTATGAATTATAATGTAAATATCTGATATGCAGGATGTACTCAGGCGACCCCTGTGACAGGGTTGTTCGACCCCTAAAGGGGTCACAACCCTCAGGTTGAGAACCCCTGTGCTAAATGAAAGAAGCCAGACACAAAAGGCCACATATTGTGTGGCTCCCTTTCTATGAAATGTCCATAATAGGCAAATTCACAGAGACAGAAATTTGGTTAATGTCCTCTAGGGCTTGTATTTAGGGTGAGGGTTGGTGAGGGAGTGATAGCTAACAGGTGTGGGTTTCTTTTGATGAAAATGTTCTAAAATTGTAGTGCTAGTTGAACATATCTTCAAATATGCTAAAAACCATTGAATGGTACACTTTACTTTTTGTTTACAAACTACTTTTTTACAATTTTTATTTTTATTTCAGGATATTAAGGGGGTACATGTGTTTTGTTTATATACTTCGTTCTTTCACACAAATTGAGTCAAGGTTTTTAAGTGTGCCCCCCACCCACACAGTGTATACCATATCCAATAGGTATGAATTTACCCATCCCAGCTGAATGATACACTTTAAAAGGGTGAATTGTTTGGTACATGCATTATTTCTCAATAAAGCAGTTATAAAAAGAAAAAAAGTCAGGTAACCAATCATTTCAACAACTAAGAGATTATGACAAAGATTCTTTGCCTGGCCAATCTTTAGTCAGGCTTCTGAACCTTCTTCTTGGCCCACCTGTGCACTCAGCTGTAAAATCCAGTTTTAGCAAATAATGCTGCCAAGGCAGTTTAGCAAGAATCCTCCACAATGGATACCTGAAGGAAATTTTTCACTCTCCTCTCCCTTGGTGTCTGACCACTCTGGCCTGCTTTCAGCCCGAATCCCGTCAGGCTGTTCCAGCCGTAATTTTCTGCAGACTTGATGACGTCTCCTCTTAGCAATTTTCCAACCATTGACTCCTGCTCCTCGCACTATAACCCCTCCTGCTTACTCCGGTATATTGTAATGGAGCCCAGCTCTATACTGTGGAGTCTTCCTCTGGGAGGGGATGTCCAACCTTATTTCTTTTCTGGCCCACATTGGAAGGAGAGTTGTCTTAAGCCACAGATTAAATACACAAACACTAATGAAAGCTGACTGGTTTAAAAAAAAAAAAAGTGTGTCAGATAAACACCACCACAAAAATCGTCCTTACAAAATCAGCATGTGCCCACAGGCCACTGGTTGGGCACCCCTGAATGTCTTCAGTAAAATGTTGTCACTTCTTTAACTTTTGCCCAGTTCTGTTTTTCTTTGGACAATGGAGGCCTCAATATGTTATTTCAAATCCTTGTGGCCAATAGATTGGTGGTTTTTAAGGAAGCATCCGGCTTTAAGCGTATTTAAGCATAAAATATTCAGAGTGCAGCCCCGCAATGGTTAGTAAAGTGCTGAAACGTTTAGCGAGTAAGAACAAGTCCAGCCTTGTCTGGACTCCAGTGCCTGGCGAGCCGCCGGCGCGGCCCGAGTGTGGGGCGCCTCGTGTCGCCGCGCCCCTCCTCCGGCCTGAGTCACCGCGCCGCCGGAGTCCCCACGCAGGGATGCTGCGCTGAGCGCGACCGGACGCCGCGGGGTCTGGGGCGCAGCGTCAGCCTCTCAGCTGCCCAGCGGCGCCCACGGGACGCCAAGCCCGGCCCGCAGCCGCGCGCTCCCCGCCGGCACCGCGCCCGGCCTCCCCGAGGCTCCTCCGGACGTCCCGGGCGGCGGCGGCGGCGGGCCTGCCCTCCATGGCGTTCACCCGGAAGAAGCACCGGGAGCAGCAGCTGCAGCTCTACTCCAAGGAGAGGTGCGTGCTCGGCCGCCGGGGGCCCTGCCGGGTGCGAGGGCGCCGGCCCGGGAGCTGAGGGCGGGAGCCGGCGCTGGGGCCGGGAGCCGGGTCATAGGCCAGGGGCCTGGTCGGGGCCGGAGCCCGGGTCGGGCCCGAGCCCACCACGGAGCCCAGCCACGCGGAGCCCGGCTGCGGCGCAGGTCCCGACCGTGGCGTCTGGCTCCCCCGGAAGGCTGCGGGGGTCGGGGCGCGGATCCCTCCCTGGGGCGCTTGAGCCCCGATGGCGCCGGGGAAGGCGAGTTAGCCCCCCGCAGACACTTGCATTTCTCCCCTCTCGCCCCACCCCACCCCACCCCCCTGAACTGGCCTCAGGACCAGCACTCCAGCCTGGCGCTGCATGGCTGCTCCGCCCGAGCGGGACCCGGCGGGACCAGCGGGCTGGCGACCACCCCTGCCTGCTCCAGGGTAGACGCTGGTGCCTCACGTCGCCGCGCGTTTTTCCTGCGGACTCCTTCAGACTGCCGCAAACGCAGGACCGCTCCCGTCCTAGTGGGTTGGGAGGAAGAGCGCCAGAAAGGCGTTATTCTGAGAAAATCCAGGGTCCTCCCCCTGAGCCCCGGACCTTGTGTGTGTATTGGCGGTCTTAGCATGGGAATGCGCCGTGCTTATTAGTCATTAGCTGCAACGTCCACGTGAAAGAATTTGGGGTCCCATGAGCGCAAGCTTGAAATGGTCTCAGAGCCCTGCTCTTTCAGAGTTTCCGAACCTGTCCCCCAGGGAAGTTTCATGAGAAACCTCACTTCAGCTGAATGATTCTAGGTATATTTCCCGGTGCATTTTTGATGACCCCAAAACCCGTGACTCTCGGTTCTGCAGCCCCACGTGCCAAAAGAAAAGGGAGCTAAATCGTTAGACATATACACTGTTCTGATAGTGGGAGCTGCGTTTATCTTGGAGAGCTGCTGGCCTATCGCGTTGTCTCAGTTGTAGACACCAACAAAGCAGATAATAAACACGGAAATACAAGTGTAGACTTTCAGGTTTTCTACATTTGCTTTATAGATGTTAATTTGACCTCATTCATCCAAACATTCATATCCCTTTAGAATCTGTAATATTGGTCTGGCCAGGATATCCACAGTCTGAAATTTCACTTAATTACTGTATAGAAAAAGATAAGATATATAGCATATGGCTTCCAGAAACTATTTTTTTAAATGATGAGGTTTTTAGTCACAGAAAGTCTTGTTTATGATTTAATAACTGAACCATAAGTAAAATAACTCATGCCTGTAGATGCTCTTCTGAGATAGTGTTTGTAATGGCAATTTCATGGGGAAAGAATTTGAGTGGAATTTCTTTAGTACCACAAGGTTAAGACTTATCAGTATGCTTTTTTATTAAGTAGGTGAATGTTCAGATTTACACTGTGAGAACTTTGAGACATTTGGGTTGTCTTTATTTTTTATGATCAGAGAGTCATTTGCAACAATTCTAGGGCCTCTGATATAGAGGAAAGCCTGTTTTCTTTGGTTGTGCCTATTATTGCTTTCTTTCTTTTTTTTTTTTTTTTGGTTGTGCCCTATTTCAATGGGAACTTTTGAATGTTTAGTTTGGTTGGCTTGTGTAGTTCTGCAGTGTGACACAAACCTTGAAATCTGCATTTAGATTTTCATGGATAAACTGTTTTGTTATGATCCATTACCAGCCAACAGTGTGACAAGCTAGCAGTGCTAAAATAAACCTGCAGTTCTCACAACCGAAACATTAATTTATCTGTCAAGATTCATCAACTATTCCTGAACATCAGTCATGAGAAACGTTGATTCCCTTTAGTTGAATTCTTCTTGCTGACTGCCCATACTCATTAATGCTCTGCTCATACATGGCTTTGCAACCTTGGGCCCAAAGGGCATACTAGGACTAGGATGTTGTAAAGGAGTATCAGTTTGAGGGACAGGAATCTGTCTCACAGCCAGGTGTGGACTAGAATCGAGCATGGTCTTTATAAATCAAAGAATTTATTCTGAAAGAATTTATTTTATTTATTTATTTATTTTTTGAGACAGAGTCATACTATGTCACCCTCAGTAGAGTGCAATGGCGTCACAGCTCACAGCAACCTCAAACACTTGGGCTTACGTGATTCTCTTGCCTCAGCCTCCCAAGTAGCTGGGACTACAGGCACCCGCCACAACACCTGGCTATTCTTTGTTGTAGTTGTCATTGTTGTTTAGCTGGCCCCGGCTGGGCTCGAACCCACCATGTTTTGTGTATGTGGCTGGCACTGTAACCACTGTGCTATGGGTGCTGGGCTGACAATTTAACCAATTTATTGAGCCTAATTTACCATTTCTGCCTAGAATTTTCCTGGCTTATCCCCTTGCAACAATAAACACAAATTAGCAAGAGGATTGTTAGAGGGTATGCCTCCTGCGCACTCAGGAGAGTACCCAGAAGTGTTACTTTCCTGTGAAGAGGGGATGTTTCAGAGATGACCAGTGAGAAGTCTCCCCTGATTATTTTGAGTTCCTCAGTCCTTCTCTCATGCTGATTTAGGAATTTTAGATTTCTATAGCTATCAAATAATGACCCCTGAAAAAGAGAAACTTGAAGTCAACATTGATTTCTCTTATCGTTAAGCTGCTGCTGCTGCTGCACTTAGGGTTAAGTGATATTTCTTCAAAAGTAGAAGCAGAGAGAATGATTGGGAGATTCCTGTTTAAGTAGTTCAGACTGAGGTGGTGGCAGAAGAAATGAAGAAGGGTGGATGGAATCAAAGTGCTTTTAGGAGGTCAGATTGACAGATCTTGGTTTCATGGGTGCAAATGAGAGGTGATTCGGGAAGAATCCCAGCTAGGATTATGGATAAAATACAGAATGTCCAGTTACATCTGAATTTCAGATAAACAATGATTAAGTTTTTAGTACTATAAGTATATTTGTGCAGTATTTGGGACATACTTACATGAAAAAAATTAGTATATGTATGTTGTTTACCTGAAGTTCAAATATAACTGGACATCTTGTACTTTCATGTGCTAAACCTGGTAGTCCTACTTTCAGGCTTCTTGTTTGAATAACTACCTATGTGGTGGTGCCATTTATTGGTAATATTTAGTAAGAAATACCCTGGGGCAGATGCAGTGGCTCATGCCTATAATCCTAGCGCTCTAGGAGGCCAAGACAGGTGGATTGCCTGAGCTCATGAGTTAGAGAGCAGCCTGAGCCAGAGCAAGACCTCATCTCTAAAAATAGCCAGGTGTTGTAGGGGGCACCTATAGTCCCAGCTACTCAGGAGGCTGAGGCAAGAGAATCACTTGAGCCTAAGAATTTGAGGTTATGGTGAGCTATGATGCCATGGTACTCAGGATGACAGAGTGAGACTATCTCAGAAAAAAAAAAAAAAAGAAAGAAAGAAAAAGAAAAGAAAATAGAATGTTTTTGCTCCTTTGACACACATTGAAGGAATTGGAAACTAGCGTGATGGCCCATGCCTGTAATCCACTCTGGGAGGCGGGTGAATTGCCTGAGCTGACTTGTTGGAGACCAGCCTGAGCCAAGAGGGAGACCCTGTCTCTAAAAAATAGCTGGGTGTTATGGCAGGCTCCTGTAGTACCAGCCACTTGAGAAGCTGAGGCAAGGGAATTGCTTAAGCCCAAGAGTTTGAGGTTGTTGTGAGCGGTGATGCCACAGCACTCTCCGAGGGCAACAAAGTGAGACTCTGTCTCCAAAAAAAAATCTATATCTATCTATTTATGGGAAAGTATTTATTATTGACAAATGAGTGGTGAGGGGAAAGAATGACAAGTAGGCTACATTCCATGGGTATATAATTCTCTTGTTTATGCTGATACTACATTTATTTTATTCCCCCTGTTTGGTTAATTGATTCAGTATTTATTATTTTATTTTTATTTTATTTTTTGAGACAGAGTCTCATTATCTCACCCTTGGTAGAGTGCTGTGGCGTCACAGCTCACAGCAACCTCAAACTCTTGGGCTTCAGCGATTCTCTTGCCTCAGCCTCCCAAGTAGCTGGGACTACAAGCTCCCGTCACAATGGCTGGCTATTTTCTGGTTGCAGTTGTCATTGTTCAGCTGCCCTGGGTCAGGCTCAAACCCACATGTTCGGTGTATGTGGCTGGCACCGTAACCACTGTGCTACAGGTGTCGAGCCTGAGTCAGTGTTATATTAAAGACACTTGTACTCCTGTTTGACCTGTCATTTGCAAGGCTGATCATCCCAATCTTTTAATATCTCTTGTGGGATATAACAGTTGTTGAAAACGGAGACAAACTGAAGGGTCAGCACTTGTGCTGTTAGGGCCCAGGAAATTAACCTAACTTTGACTTAAAGAGATAGGGTTTGAACTGAGAAGTTATATTGGCTTTACCCAAAATACGTTATTAGCCTTGCCTCATAGTTTCTTAATATCTCAAATTTGCTTCTTGAAAATGGCTGCCATTGAGAAGGTACAAGAATTCACCTATGAATGCGTTTTGAGTTTGTCTGCTATATGATTTTCATTAAAAAGTGGATTTTTTTTAATGTGACGTATGTAGAAATGGCCACTTAAGGAGTTCAATGCTTGTTTTCTTCTAAATACCATTGTGATTTCATCTTTTACCTATCAGTTATTAAGAATTGTGTCTTAAAGTATCCAACGCATAGATTTTGAATTACCTGTTTGTTATTTATTTATTTATTTATTTTGAGACAGAGCCTCAAGCTGTCACCCTGGGTAGAGTACTGTGGCATCACAGCTCACAGCAACCTCCAACTCCTGGGCTCAAGCGATTCTCCTGCCTCTGCCTCCCAAGTAGCTGGGATTACAGGTGCCCACCACAACGCCCAGCTATTTTTTGGTTGCAGCCGTCATTATCGTTTGGTGGCCAGGCTGGATTCAAACCCACCAGCCCAGGTGTATGTAGCCGATGCCTTAGCCATTTGAGCCACAGGTGCCAGCCTTTGTTATTTATTTTTAACTATGTTTAGTAAATTGTTTAGAATTCTT